TAAAGCCATGCGGGGAGGGGAGGGGAGGGGAGGGGGGGGCTGAAAAGTAGATGGAAACAAGTTCCTTGCAATTCCTGCCCATCTGCGCATCCATCCTGGAGGGAGCAGCTTAGCCCCAGCGATGCCCAGGGCTAGTCCAGCGGGTGCAAGGCGTCTTTTCCAGCCCCAGCACCGCCTGGCTGGGCGCCTCAGTCCCTGGTCCGGTGCTTCCCAGCCGCAGCCGCTTGTCTTACTGACCGCAGGAGAGCCAACTGCACCTCTCAGGCTGGGAGAAAACCTGTAACGCTTGCAGAAGCTGCCCTTATTCTGCTGGGCAGAAGCTTGCAAACAGAAAGTTAAGTTTCCCCTGCTTTAAAAGGGGGGGGAAATCTTAGTGACACCATCTCCAATGCCCCATTTATTCACCTTAGTAGCAAAGAACTGAAAAAGTTACACAGGAAGTTTTAAACAGGAAGCGAATATTACATTTGTACAGAAGGAAAAAAATTAAACCAGAAGCGCTCCAAGATTGTCCCCTCCTGCAAATGCAAGCTGACAGCGAGAATTCGCCGCTCAAAATGCTCTTTCTGGCAAAAGCAGCCATTTCTGTTGTGCGTGGTCCTCCAACAGCCTCTTGTCCCAAACGGGCATCGCCGCAAAGCCGAGAGTCTCCTGCTGCTCTTCTTTCACGCTGCTGCCGCTGCTCCTCTTCAGCTCCCCGTGGCTGCTGTCCCGCTGCCCCTCCCTTGGGCATGCGGTGCCACCCTCTCTGCTCACAGGGCCACACCTTCTGCCAAGGGCTTCTGCAGCCTACCAGGCACGCCAGTTTTTCAACAGCCATTGCCAGCTTAAAATGGGCCTCCGTTCCCCACCCCAAGTGGATCACTCAGCAGCACCAATGGAGGGCAACCGACGAACTGGCCCAAGTGGGGGACCCCGTGGCCCTGGAGCAAGGGCCCGGGCCTTCCTGGAGAACTGGGGGGCAACTCCTGAGCGGCCAAAATGGAGCCTCTGGAAAACCAAACTGGCAAGTCTAAGGAAGCCTGGGGGAGAAACCCCATGATTCTATCCAACAGGGCATCAGCCAATGCTTCCCCACCTGGGAGCCATTAGCTTGGGACCACCCCAATTCGGCAGGATCAACTGCACTGTCTCAAGTCCTACCAACTTCCATAAGGGGGGGCAAGTGGGGAACGGGCCAAGCAGCAAGGCAGCACCAGCCCAGCCTTCGATGGCTCGTCCCAGGTTTACTCACTAGGAGGCCCATGGCTGAAGGCAGCCTCGGCTGCAGCACAGGCTGCCCGGGCACGGCAGGAGCTCTTCTGGCAGACGGCTGCAGGGGGGCCGAAGAGGATAGGATGACCAGAGCGGCCGAAACCCCTGCACTCCCCTTGGGCAGAAGGGCAGCCCTGAAACCTTCTGAACAGGCAGAAAGATGCCAACGGGCGCAGCAGCCTTGCCCCAACTGTGCTGCCATTGAGGCGAACCAAAACAGGCCTCCTCCCAGCTGGCAGCCCTGTCTATGGCTGAAAGGAGGCAGGAAGGAAAGTCAACTGAAAGAGGCAACTGGAAACTGTTCCGTGTGTCCGGCATCACAACGGGGTCTCGGCCAACTGTAAGCGCGGCAAGGGTGCTCCAGGGGCGCTGCAGGCAGCACAGGCACCCTGAGGTGGCCTGTCTGCATGATCGCCGCCTGTCCTCCCCAGGTACCCACCTGAAACGAGGAAGGCCCAGGAGGAGGGAGGGGCAGTGGCTGCTGCGTCTTCCTGGTATCGCCGCTCTTCCTCAACTCAGGTCTTATTGAGTGTCCAGAGGGGATCCAGCTTGCTGAGAGGGTCATCGCTGGGGAGAGCTCCTCGCAGGCCCTCCCCGTTCTGGGGCTGGAGAAAGCTTTGCTTGCTCACCTTGTGCCTGCCCTTGAGGGAGCTGTCCAGGGTGAAGGCCTCCGGGGTCAGTGAGGCCAGGAGCTCCAGGGAGGAGGAGGAGGGCGGGGCCGGTGCGGAGGCCGAGGGCTCTACCCCTGGCCGGCCTGGCAGGCTCCCCATCTTGCCCTCGTTGCTCTCCTGTTCCATGGGGCCACTGTGGTCCAGAGGTGGAGGCCCCACTGTCTCGGGCAATCCCGAGGCAGGCGTGGCCGGGGGAGAGAAAGGCGGGGTTGGCTCTGCGCTCGCCACACAGCCTGGCTCGGTCAAGACAAGCGGAGCTGCAGAAGCAGAGGCCGGGAGTAGGGCGGCATCGGCCAGGGAAGCTGAGGGTGGGGGCTCTGTCGGTCGCCCGTTGGGGGAAGGCTCAGCGCCACCCGGGAGAGGTCGGATGCTGAGTCTCGCAATGGTGGCCTGGATGGAGCTGATGGGGATGTCGCCCCCCAACACCAGATCTTGTGGATCCTGCTGGACGTACAACTGGAAGGAGGGAGGGAAGAGAGGGAGCGCCTGAGTGGAGCTGCACTGCCGTCAGCCACCTGCGTCCGGCTGCCCACGGTCAGACCTGCTGCAGCAGAGAGGGGGAGCCAGCCAGGCCGTGCTCTTCCGCCCCATCTTCAATCCTTTCCCCTAGCTTTTCCTAAAGGAAGAGCTTGCTTCTCCTAGGAACTTCAGCACCCCTCAAAAGCATCCCCGGAGTGCTGCGGGGCTGCCCCTGGCCAGAGCCCCCCGTCTAACGCTGCCTCACAGGGCTGTGGCCGAGTAAACGGGCAAACCTGCCTCACCTTCTGGGCAGTGCTGCTGGCCGGTTTGCTGGAGGAGGCGGCCGTCACCCCATGCCTCTGCAGCACCTGCTTGGCATGCTTCAAGACCGACTCGTAGCAGAACTTGAGGTGGACCTGGAAGAGGAGCCGCTCGTCAGGCCTCCCACTCAGGCCCCCTCCAAAGTCAGCTTGCGCAGGGGCCCCCAAGGGCCCCCCGGAGCCAGGCCCACCCCCGCCCGCACCTTCTCCTGCAGCATGTGCTTCCTCTGCCGGCGGATCCGCTTCACCAGCTGAACCAAGTCCGGGATGCTGTTGCCGGCCTCCACCTCCTGCAGGGCCGCGTACAAGAGGCAGAAGGCACCCGTGCGGCCCACCCCGGAGCTGCAAGGAAGACCCAAGCCCACCGAGACTGGTTACAAAAAACCTTTGTTCCTCCAGGGCCCTGTGCCTGCATCTGCTGGGCTTCGGGGGACTGCTGAAAAGGGGCGGGGCAATGCAAAGGCTCCCCGCTTCCAAGGAATTCTGGGGGAGCCCTCCCCGGAAGAGCTATGGGGCAGGTGACTAGACCCACAGCAGGCTCCTCTCTGGCCAGCAAGAGCTCCAGGAGCCACTCCTGCCTCTGCCCGGCACAGAGGCTGCCGGCGCCTCCCCGTGTTACCTGCAGTGGACCACGATGGGCGTGTGGAGGGGCCGCTGGTGGAGGTAATGGCTGTGCACCTCCTGGATAAAGCGGAGCAGATTCCCTTTGCTGTCCGGCAGGCCGCTGCGGGAGGAAAGGAGAGGTGCGCGGAAGGTCGGACTGGCAGCCTTGCGCAAGCTGGTTCCAGCGACCTTCCCCCCGCCA